TGCAATTCACAACGCACGCCTGTCTGAACCTCTAAGCCCAAAAGGCGCCAAGCATGACGTTGGGCCAGCCAGTCAAACTTTCCAACCACGCAAGATGGGCCACGCTTGCATTCAAACAGGCATGGGTAAACACGTTTCAAGCCCTGTACTGTGGTGATGTATGAGAGCAAGCCAGGCGTTTCTTCTGGTTTTGGGCTCGTGTTGCTGCGCTGGCGGTGCGAAACATTTCAAGAGGCCCACGCGGCAGAATCTGTACAGCCGGCAAGGGCCCATTATTGTTCAAAGGTGAAACGGGGCAATCTGTGCAATAGACCTGTGCATCTTGCTTGCTTTATCTCTCCACTGCAACGGGCCTGCACCGCTATCAGGATTGCTATGGCTACTTGCGGCGGCACCTCAGGCAGTACCGGGCGCGCTTCTTGCCTTTCACTTGCTCATGCCACTTGGACTTGCAGCTGCGGCAGGTCTGTTCGTCCTTCTGCCGAATGCCCCGGGAAGCGCAGTTGAGGCAACGCCGCTGGTCCAAAGCTTGCTGGCTTCCCGCGCCAGCTGGCAACATTTCCCCGCAGCTTCGGCAAGTGAACCAATTTTTGCGCTCCTTCTTGTCGACTTTGTCCTTCATGGCATCTTGACAAGCTTTGCATACCACGCCTCCGGCCGGGAAGGTGACCATGGTGGCATTGAAGTACTCGATGCTCTTGCTTCTGCCACAATGAGCACACTGCAGAATGTCAGCCTTCTTGCAGCAGGCAAGGCACTTCTTGCCGTCCTCTTGCTTCAACTGCGCTCTTGGGAAAGCATCCTCGATCTTGGCCAGCTTGCAGATGCTGCACGGATATTTGATGGCCGCGTCGAGCTTGCGCTTGCGCATGGCCTTCCTGTGCTTGCACTGCATGCACATGGCGGGCATGTTGGCCCGCACCTTTTCCCATTGCTCGTGCTCAAAGCCGTCCAAGTGCCGAACTTGTTGACAATGGGAGCACGTTGCATGCGGATTCAGGCCTTCGGCATAGGCGGCCAAGTCGACGTCCTCGCCCCGCAGCTTCTGAAGGAGCAGCTTGGGCCCGTCGGGCATCCCGCGCTGGAAAAGCCACAGCGGGAACGGGCGAAGGATGAGGCAGTCGTGGCGGCTCCGAACCCGGCTGAGGCCCACTGCACCCGTGGTGGCGTCCACCCGCTTGTCCACATCAAGGTCCAAGAAGAGTGCGCGCATGGTCTTTCCCTGGCTCGAATGCGCAGTGATGGCAAAGGCCGGGGTGAGAGGAGTCTGTTTCCGCTTGATTCTCAGCACTGGATTGCTCCTCTTGCCGTCCAAGTACCAGTCCTCCTTTCGTGGGCGGATAGGGTAGACGCCCGGCTCATCGATGCCATCTAACTGCCACGTGGCGCCCTCAAACTTCACATAGACGCAGGACGGCATGCGGTGGGCAAGACGGCCGTTCTCAGGCCACACCCAAGAGTGCACATAGCCCCTAGTGCCTTTCAGGAGCATCTTGTCCGGCGACCGGTTCAAGTGGTGCGTCAAGGCAACGGGCATGCCGACGGCCAGGGGCAGCACACCACAGAGACCACCTGTATCTCGGTCGTGATACTGCAGCCACCTGCAGGCACACGGCTTTCAAATGAAGCTATGCATGTTCAGTTGCGCTTACCAAACCTGTACCCATTTAAATTGCATGGCTGAATACTACATGTTCTGGCGCGCGGCCGCCTGATCTTGGCATCTCTGTCGCACGGGTCTGCCTGCAGTGCTGCCGAAGTTGCTTCATCATGTGCTACGGACCAGTAGAATGGGGCTCCAGATGCTCGGCTGTAGTTCTTCGCCCTGTCCTTGTTGATCTGGTAGCGCGCGTCGTTGTTGGCAACCACCGCCATGGCCTCCTTGAATCTGGCTTCTTGGAGTCGCGGATCATTGGGCCCATCTATGACGCGTTTCCTCGAGAGCCGCTCTTCTTCACTGAGGGTGCAGCCCTCCACCGGCAAGCCGTGCAGGTACTTGTGGTTCTTGTCCGAAAGGCGCCCACGCCGCACCTCGTCGCTGACTTCGGTCCACCATTCGTCCTTGCAACGCTCCCGGTCAACGAGTTCCGTGATGCCCTGCACGGCGCCGGCCCAAAAGAGTTGCTTGCCGTGGTCCCCCAGCGCGTTCTCCGGCGCACCTTCCCCATGAGGGTCACGGACAGCGCAGGGCACCTGTGCCAAATAAGTACCGGCAGGCGGTGGCAGTTGGTGGAAATCGCCTGTGAAGATCACGTTGATGCCGGCAAAGGGGCGCGCCTGGCCGTTCTTGCTCTTCCACGGGTTGCTGACGGGCACAACTTCCCGAAGCTCCTTCTCCGCTTGCCCGAGCAACTTGGCGTCCACCAGGCTGATCTCGTCCAAGATGAGCCACCGCCAATGCGCCATGCGTCTGTGTGCCTCGCGCTTTGCACCTTCATCTGGGGTTCCGCCTTTCGCCTTCCAGCCAAAAGCTTTGTGCATGGTCTTGCCTTGCAAGTCAGCGGCGTTGACGGCTTGGAAAGCAGCGACTTCGTAGTCCAAAGCGTAGGTGTAGCCCATCAGGTCGAAAAGCGCGCGGACGAAACCCAATACATGGGATTTGCCCGTTCCTGGCAGGCCATGCAAGAGCCAGACGAGGGGGTCTGTTGTCTGGCGTAGCGACTGCGCCTGGCTGATCAAGCCTAGCTCCACCATCACTCTATCCACCACAAGCTTCAAGAACTCGTGCTGCATGCGGTTGGTGCCCCTGCGTACCTCCTCACTTTCCAGCCATGCCTGCAAAGCTGCTTTGGTCACACGCGGGTGCTCCTTGATCCACGGGCCTTCTTCTTCGCCCGCTTGCGCCAAGAGGCCTACCACCCTGTCCTCATGCGCATCCTCTTCCGTCTTGGCTGCCGCGGCGGCTTTCCTGGCGACCGCGTGGTCGCGCACCTGGCCCGCCTGCAACATGTTCTGATGCCTCGCCTGTGCATTTGCATCTGCTTGCTGCGCGCGGTCCGGCGCCAGCCAGATCGAGCTCGAAAGTTGGAACATCTGCATGGTGAGCTCAAACAGCGTGGAGCACTTGTTCTGCACTCCTGCCTCGCCGTTTTCCTCCTCCTCCTCCTCAACGATCGGCTCATCTTCCTGGCTGCCGTGTGCTTTGCTGCCTCCCCGGACGTGCGTCAGGGTGGCGAGGACGAGGTCATCTTCGTCCAGCGCCAGGTCCAAGTCGTCCGCCACGTCCTCATCGTCGCTGTTGGGATACAGGCCGTCCTGGAGCTGCCGGTCGCGGGCCAAGAAATGCACGATGCAAAAGTTCAGGACGAAGCGTTTGACTTCGTCGGTGGGGAAGCCATAGGCGAAGGTTCGCTTGCGCAAGGCTTCTCTCCAGCTTTTGCCGCCTTCAACCCAGAAGTGGCCAATGAAGGGGACGGCAGCGGTAGCATCTCTCACATCGTTGACCCATGGAAAGAACAGCAGCAAGAGCTTCATGGCCTGCTCCTCTTCCGACTTGCTGCCCTGCGCTCCATATGGCACCGGTACATTTGGCCGCTTCCGGGGCACGATCACCCAGTCGTGGCGGTACGCTGGGTCCACGTGTTCCCCCTGGCCCAAGCAATGCCACTCTGCGCCCACGACCTCTCTGATCTGGTAATCTTCACCGGCAATGAGGGCCGGATGCCTCCCGGCTGCCGCCACCTTCTTGACCCCATGCTCGGTGAGCTTGGCGTGGTAGAGCTCGGGCTTGTTGATGTGGTTGCGGTGCTGCTGCTCGGTCTGGGGATGCGCGACCAGCTTGAAGCGGTAGTGGCGGGCGAACTCGTAGGCGGAGAGCGGGTGCACCTGCAGCGCATTGCGGCTGGACGGGGTTGCAAGGCCATGAATATTACACAAGACAAATTTTCGACAAATTATATAATAAAGCCCAAGCTAAAAGCGAAAACTTTTGCTTTCGTGCCTAGGTCGCCTCTGCAGCGCGGCCTCTGCCTCCGTACACGGTCCAGAAAGGGCAGTCGGTCAACTTCTTCTGCGCGCGATTGCGGGTGTCTGGCTGTAGGCGGCGAGGCTCGCGAGGCCAAGGCTCCTTTGCAGCTGCTGCCTCCAGTAGCCGCAGGCCGTAGAACAAGCTCATCTCCGTCACCGGGGCCGTCTTGACGCTCTCTGCACAGGTGGGGTCCTTCTCGTACTGCTCGGCGCGGGTCACCAGGCTGGTGCACTCCACGGCCCCGCGGCAAACGCCTCGCGCATAGCAATCTGTGATGAGGCGCTTGCCCAGCCGCGCTCCCATATAGCCCGGCTTGTTGTCCTGAAGCTCTTCGATCAAATTCTTCTGGGCCCTCATCCACTCTTTGCACTCGTGAACAGCCACTGGCAAGCGCTTGTTCTGGTAGTCCGCCGCATAGCCTGCCTGCGCTGCTTGGGTAACTTGGGCATCCCATATCAGCGTCCGAACTGGCACCTTCTCACACCCTCCTTGGCAAAGATCACTTCTGTGGCTCAAGGGTGCCATCGGGAACCTATAGGGCGGCTGGACATCGCTATTGCACCGAAGTGCTGCCAAGAGGGCTGGATGGGTGCCGTTGAGGTTGGGCTCGTTGCAGGGCCCCCAAGGCAATCCGACCATGCTGCGCTTGCCCCTGTGTGGCATCTCTTTTTCTTCTGCTAGTCCGGGGCAAATGACGAAGGGCTCCTCAGTCAGCCAGTTTGTTCGGGGAAAGCCGCTCTTGCATTTTGTCGGGTCTTTGGCGTCTTGGCAATGCTTCAATGGGAGTCGCGTGCCATCGGGCCCTGGTAAATGCACATGATGTTGCTTTCGCTTCTGCAAGGCCTCCACGTCTTTGGCCAGGTAGGTTGCTCGCCACACTGCGGGCTCCATACCCTCATCCAGCTGGTAAGCCGGCCGACTGCTCATGAGCATGCAGTCTTTGAACTCCGGCCAGGCAGCCTCTATTTCATCCCGCTCTTCTTCCCAGGCTTCTTTGTTGCAGTAGATCTTCCGCTGGACGTAGCCCGAATAGCTGGTGCAGCGGCGGAGCATCTCCAGGAACCGTTGCTCCTTCAAGCCCTGCAGCTCTGACAGCGAGAAAAACTGGTGGAAGCACTGCACGAAGGCTTGCAGATGGATGTGCTCGGCGCCGCTTTTCTGACATTCGAGGGAGCCGTAGATAGCGTCCACGCGGCCAAAGATGCCTCCCATTGCCGTGGCATTGCTGCCAAAGGCATCCATGCAGGGTTTGTCAGACTGAGCGCAGTTGGGGCAGTTGCGGCAGTAGCGGATGCCAAAGAGGTGCCGGAGCGCCAGCAGCACCAAGGTTTGAAACCCTTCCGCGCAGGCCAAAGGATCCCGGGCAAGCAACGCCTTCCTCTCGTCATAGGGCAGCAGCTCCTGGCAGGAGTGCGAACCGCAAATTACGCAACACAAACTTTCAACCAATGCCCTATACCTAGACAAGCAACCCCCTGGAAAATCAAAACGGGCTCCTCTGCCAAGGCCTCGGGCGACAGGTTCACGTAGTCAATGTCCAGGGCTGGCGTTTGCCTTTTCTGAAACTTGGCACTACCGTCTTCAACGACTGCTGGGTCAGATTGGCGGGCACGGACGAGGCGCATCATGATGCTGCTGTCTTGCTCGCGCGGGGAGAAAGTGATGAAGATTGCCGTCCCGTAGACAACTCGGTTGGCATTGGTCTGGTGCCGCATGGTTTTGCGAATTTCATGGGTGCCTGGCAGGCGGCGCGTCCGTGCTTCTGTGTTGCACAAGGCCTTCTGCGCGGCCGCGGTCAAGCCGGGCGCGTGCCGCAGCTTCGTCAGGTCGCCGTTCACGGGCTTCAGCGCACCGGCCACGTCCGTGTACAAGCCATTGCGCAGACGCTCCATGACCTCGAGGAAGCCTTCACCGATCTCGTCATTGCCAAGCAAGCGCTTGCCGCCTTGGGCTTTTGGATCGGGCACGGCGTACATGTAAGCATTCTTCTGGAGATTCACCATGGTGCGAAACAGATAGTTCCAGAGGGTGAAGCCAAAGGTCCAGTCCCTGCGAAATTGCGTTTCGACTCTTCTTGCCATGGCCGCGGCCCATTCCCTGATGCCAACGGGCGGTGCTTCCGGGTTGCCGGCATGGCGGCGAGACAGATGCCCACGTGCCGCTGGTGCTGCTCCTTCTTCACCTCCCTGCATCTTCGTGGTGTTGACAATATCAGGGCAAGCGGTGCCATACTTGAAGCAGAAGGGAAACGCAATGGCGAAGTATTCCGGCCGAAACTGATCCAGGAATTTGTTGCCTGTTCGGACCTCGAGGGACAAGAGCGCGGCATTGGCTTCCTTCTGGGCATCCGTCAAGAGGTTGTCCTCCATCTCCTTCAGCGCGGCTAGCTCTCGTAAGCATTCTTCTGGAGATTCACCATGGTGCGAAACAGATAGTTCCAGAGGGTGAAGCCAAAGGTCCAGTCCCTGCGAAATTGCGTTTCGACTCTTCTTGCCATGGCCGCGGCCCATTCCCTGATGTTCTTGCCGGCCGCGTCCACCTTCTCCATGGCGTCGCATGGGGTCGCCGCTTTCTGCGGCTGTAGCTTGTCGTGGCTGCTGACCGCTTCCTGCACCACCTTCCAGACCTCGGGTGGGATGCCCTTCTCGGGTAGGTCCGCGGCCCTGTGCCGCATTGTCTCCTCATCTATGGAGGCATACGCCGGGTGCCCGCAATGATGCATGCTTAGGATGAGGTCCACCACCACCTGTCGCCGAGGCCGGTGTGGGGTAACATGGGGGGTAGCAAGCGCATGTTGTTGGATGATCTTCTTCTGCAACTTTTTCAGTGATATCAATAAGCGAAATATTTATATACAAATACAAGCCGGATAATTAAAATTTACACAGTAGGTATATGTTTACATATGTCTGCGATGCTTCTTTGGACGCTACCCCGGCATTCCGTGCATCGAACTGGGCCCTGCCTCTCGTCGCACAACGGCCTGATGAATCAAAGTCTTGATGTCTTTCTCACTGGTTGCGCCTTCCTTGTTTGTCTTTAGCAATACTCTTGCCACGTGCGCCAATTCTGTACCAGCCCGTGGCAGCTGTAGGGGTTGTCCTTCCTCCGCATCCTTCGAAAGGCCCTGCAACGCCAGGAACAAATCTTCCAGCGGGAGGGGAAAGGTGAGGGCATTGCCGCGGGCACCAAAGCGATGTCGCGCCATGTGCGCCTTGGCGTTGAGCGGCTCGGCTTCCTGGGCTTCCTGCCGCACGTTGTCCTCGTACCGGGCTTCCATGGTCATGCAAACCAAAGTTGTGATGCAAGGGCTGGCGCAGATCGCTTCCATGACCGTGACCTTCTGCTCGATGAAGTACTGCGGTGCATAGCCCGTCCACATGTCGTTTGCCAACGCCAGTGCAGGAAGCTCGCCTCTGGACAAAGAACCTTTACATTTGCTGCAAATGGGAAGCTCGCACCCTTCACAAAGGTCCAGATCGTCTGCTTCGTGCCCCAGGCTGCAGCGGCGGTCCTGGCAGAAGGGGTTCATCAACTAATATACAATCCGTTTGAATCCAACCCCCCATGTTGCTTTTGGCTCTTTGGGGGCGCCCTTGCCAAGCTACTTCTTGCAGACTCTTTTACGTGCAGAGAACATGTACATGCCTGCAATGACTCTCGCTTATTCTTACAAGTACACACAGGCGTAAAGAAGGGGTCCTCCGGGCAGCAAAGGATCCTGCGCCCGGCTGGCAAAGCATTGCTGGGCTACCTCAAGGACCAGTCGCTGAAGCTTTCGTGATCTTGGAGGCAGTTGCCTACTTCCGAAACCTTGTCATAGCGATCCAAGAAAGTCTTCAAGTTGAGGAGATCCCCTGTTTCGTCAATGGGCCGGTCCAGGAAAAGAAGCTTCTCTTCATCGGGGCTATGCTTGAAAGGATGCACCCACTCAACGTCGCCCTTTCCTTCATCGGCAAGCTCTTCCACATACGTGTAAGTACAAGCACAGACGAAGCAGACCAGGGCTTCCACTTTGTGACCTTCGCATGCTTCGCCGAAGGACTTCACGGCCCTGCGGTCAATTGAAGGTCCCGCAATGGGGGCTTGGCTGCGGCATTTCACTGCGATGGCTTCGTTGTAGATGCTCAAGAAGGCGTCCGGGGCATTGCCTCGCAGCATCCGCGCAGCTATCGGGGCAAGGTCATCGGCATGCGCCGCTTGCAGATGGGCATGGAGCTCACCTTCGTTCCCATGCATGGCAACCCAAGGGCAACCGACAAAAGCGCAGAAAGCGCGAGGCCAAAGCTCACCATGGTCCACGGCCTCCAGCTTGTCGTCTGACGGTAGGGTAGGGTGCTCGCGCAGCTTCTTTGTGGCCAGATCCTGGCAGAAAAGGGGGCTGCAGCGGAAGGTTTGATTAAGCACGGCACATGAAAACAGGCAATCCTTCTTTGATCACGGGGGTGCGAAAAACAAGAAATGTATGCCTACACCGCGCTTGTCAAAAGCACTGTCCTTGATGAAGTTCTCCTGCTGCTGGTGCGGGTGCCGCATCCTTGGTTTCACCGGAATACGGCACAGCTCTGTGAGGATGTCGTCTCGCAGCTCTGGCGGCGGCGTCGTCTTGGTGGTGCAACGCCTGAGGATTGGGTATGGCGCCTCAGGTGCGGAAGCCTTGCCTGCCAACGGTTTGGCCGTGGGTTGTTTTTCTCTGCCCTTCTTGCCCTGCTTGCCGCCCGGCCTGGGCTTGGTGAAGCGCGGGCCTCTGCCGCGGCCCGGTGCAGCACTACCGCCCAAGGGAGGAAACTCTTCTGGCTTCTTCTCTTCCTCCTTGAAGTACACTGGCGGACATGGTTGCTTCCACGCTGGTGCCCATCCCTTTGGATTTGGGAGCAACTCCACTAATGCATCATAGTGGTTGCCGTTTCTGTAAAGGACCCGGCGCAGCGGCGCATGCACGTCAACCCCGACATTGCCGTGGCTGGCATCGGTCACCACAGTCGTGCCATTGGGGTGGAGTGTGTGGATATCCACCCGGACGTGCTTCATGAGGGAATATGCCGTAATGGCGGTGTGGCCTCCCCAAGTTCCTTGCTGAAGTTCCTCGGCCTCCTCGAGCCAAGCATCTTCGAAACCTTCTTGGCTGCTGGCCTTTTCAACCATGAAGGCTGCGACCTCATTGCGCAATGCCGCTCCGTCCCGCACGTCCAAGTCGCCCAACGCATGGACAAGGCAATTGCCGTCCCCGGCCACAGGCACGCAGCCAAGCACCATCGAAGTTGAAGGCACCTGGCAAGGAGTGCCACGGCTGGCACGCGCTCACCCTGTGGCAAGACGCATCCCCGGCCTCGTCATTCATGGCACTCGTCGCTGCACTGGAGGCCATGGTCGTCCTGGCATGGGCGCTCCGGTTTCTACACTGGTCCTTACGCAGGGGTTTCATCCTATGCTCATGTTTCTCGGTTGTCAGCTGGCCTGGGACACAACGGGTTGACAATTAGAATCCTTGAAGCTTGAGCTCGAAAGTAGGCTGCGGTAGATTGCAGTTCAAGCGGACCTTCAGTCCAAGGTGCAAAGGTGATGCCACAGCATGGGAACAGCCGCTCGCACTCTGCATGTTAGAATGTCTGGGTTTGCCCCCCGCCTACCCGTGTCAAACTTTTCTTTTTTATATATGCTTTGTTGGTCATTGCGTCTGAGGTGGCACTGGTGGCCGGAGCGCATGGGCAGCCTTGATCCAATCCACGTCATGAAGCACACCCGGGTGGAGATTCACACGCTCCAGCCAAATGGTACAGCCGCGGTGACCGACGCAAGCCATGGCGACGTGGGAGGCGACTTGCACGCTCCTTTTACAGAAACGGCAACCACTATGATGCATTGGTGGGGCTGCTCCCAAACACACGGGGCTGTGCACCGGCCTGGAAGCAGTCCCACCAAAGTATCGTAGTGGTTGTCATTGCTGTGGAGGGCTCGGCGCAAAGGAGCGTGCAAGTCGCCTCCCACGTCGCCGTGGCTTGCGTCGGCTACCACGGCTGCACGTTTGGCTGAAGCGTGCGAATCTGGTGGTGTGGCCCCCCCAACTTCCTTGCTGAAGTTCCTCGGCCTCCTCGAGCCAAACATCTTCGAAACCTTCTTGGCTGCAGGCCTTTTCAACCATTAAGGCTGCGACCTCATTGCGTAATGCCGCTCTGTCACGCGCGTCCAAGTCGCCCAACGCATGGACAAGGCAATTGCCGTCCCCGGCCACAGGCACGCAGCCAAACAAGGAGCGCAATGGCCGGTACACGTTGTGGCAAGACGCATCCCCGGCCGCGTCGTTCATGGCACTCGTCGCTGCACTGGAGGCCATGGTCGTCCTGGCATGGGCGCTCCGGTTTCTGCGGTGGTGGTTAGGCAGGGGTTTCATCCTATGCCCATGTTTCTCGGCTGTCACCTGGCCTGAGACACAACGGATTGAAAAGTAGAATGCTTGAAGCTTGAGCTCGAAAGTAGGCTGCGGTGGATTGCAGCTCAAGCAGGCCTTCAGTCCAAGGTGCAGAGGTGATGTCACAGCATGGGAGCAGCAGCTCGCACTCTGGATGTTAGAATGTCTGGGTTTGCCCCCCGCCTGCCCGTGTCGAACTTCTTTTTTTCTTTGCTTTGTTAGTCATTGCGTCTGAAGTGGCACTGGTGGCCGGAGCGCAGGGGCAGCCTTGATCCGATCCACGTCCGGACATGTAGCCGTCCAAGAGAAGAACAAAGCACAACAAAGGACAATCAACCGATGCATCTGGATGCAGCCAAGGCCCGCAAAAAAGGGTATCATACCTAAGTAGGGTAGGCCAAGCAACGTTAGACATGCGGCTAGCCAGTCATCTCTTCCAGCAGTAGTTTCCAAACCGGTTTGGGGACTTTTGCATATTATAACCTACCTTCCTATCTGATTATGCTGATACGAAATGTTCGACCCACTAAATTGCGGCCCTGCTTTGCCTATGGAACGGCACTGCCATCGGATTGTGGTGCTGGGGGGCATGTCCACCACATTGCAGCCGAGACACCAGGCACGGCTCGGAATTACCTGAGCTCACGGGGCGGGGGCTGCCTACCGGTACTCCTACTTGAGAAAACCAAAGTGCATCCAAGGGTCGGCTCCCGCAAAACGCATACGTAGAGCAGTTTTCCTTAGATGCGCAATTGCATTCGGCGGCAGCAAGAAGTGCGAGGATAGTCAAACCCGACCGGCTGGAAACCCTGGAGTTCACTATCCCTACGTTACTGGTCGGTCCTCTTTGTTCGGCTGCGTGCTCCATGCGCGCATCGCAAAATCTTTTTTTCGCCCCGAGGCACTAATTGGAAGTATCATATATCCTCAGGGCTTCTGGTGGTCGGCCCGTTCCTTTCCTTATCCCGGGCACAGCGGCCCATCTAGCCCCAATCTAAAAAGCCCGTGCGTCTGGCGGGAAAGAAAGACTTTGCGAGTGCTCGCATGGAACACGGTGTATTGTTGCTGGTCTGGTTGGCGCCACATTCCATGGATGCGTTGCCAAATCAGTTTCCACGCTCCGCATCTCTCATTCTTCGGCTGAAATACAAGCTGGTAGGTTAGAGTAGGTGGATTCAAACAATTTCACTTGGGTAAGAGAGAAGTGGTCGAAGAGCCTTCGGCTTTGTATGGGAGCATGGATTGATTTCGCGTTTCGCATCAATGGAAGGTGATGTATGGAACTGGTGGTCTCACAGACGCTTCCCGGATGCACCTTAAAGTCAGCTTTCACTCCTTTACCGGAATGAAAGCACTGTTGGAATATATTTTCATAATAGCTTTGAAAGGGCGTATCCTCCCTGAAGGTATCCTAGCGGTCCAAATGTCCCATAGTTTCAAAGTGAAAGGCCGGCTGTAAGAATATCATCCGCGAAGCGTAGTGGACTCCTCTTTGAATTTGGAAAATCATGCGAAAACCACAGACATTAGGTATAAAAAGTGGTGATCCTGAAGGGGCCCATCCTTCACGTTGCCATCGACGGGGAGCCTCTTTTACTTAGTAGGCTTTAGGCTTGAAACCCTTTGACTTCCAACGGCGCCGACACCCCGTGCAAGGCAACTTGGATCACCACAATCATCCCCTTGAGGGTTATGGTGCGCCTGCCGGCATTTGTGTGGAAGCCGAAAGGCCATCCTGGTCACGACCTTTCTTCCCTTTTTCTCAGTTTAGAAGAATGTCGAGTAAGCGATCAACCTCTAAGGTTCCAACCACCTCCCGGTGGAAGCCCATCTTAAAGGAGACCGGCTTTACAAGACAAGCTTGCTAAACCCGCTCAGGGTTGAAGCCGCAATGAGTTGCTCGACCCACCAGTGTGTGAGCGAGCGGCAGGGTACCGACCCAACGCCAGCCAGGTAAGTTTGAACCTGTGGCT